CAACTCTGAGCTATTAGCTAAGTTCTCCCCAAACGAGCTTGATGGGCCGAATGGCCTCCTCTCGTTTGTAAATTTCTTATGTTCTTATGTTCTTATGTTCTTATGTTCAAAGAGACTGTTGTTTGTTCTGCTCTCTGGTGTCTCACTGATTAAATCTGTGTCCTCGCACAGGCTGGTGAACTGCTCTCTCCAAGGTCAGCACCTCGCATTCCTGCACCGCATGAGGCAGCGATGTGCCCAGCTTGTGGAGCTAGAGTAAGTGTGGATTAAGCGGGTGTTTGGTGGAAGCACAGCTTTGCAGGCTGTTCTTCTGTGTGCAGGATTTATTCCACACTCCAAATAGTGAGTGTGCCCTGCATTGGGTCAGCATCCCATCCTTGCCTCCTTTTAGGTTCCACGCCTTGTGTCCTGTGTCAAAGGTGGAAATATCATGTCCAGAAAATAAAAATCCAGACCAAGATTTTGTTTCAACTGACCAGTTCAGTATAAAGAGTCAGTCACACAGTACTCAACTGGTTGGTTGAAACAAAATCTTGATCTGAATTTTTACTTTCTGGACCTGAACTTTCCACCTCTGTCTGGTGTTGCCTAGGATAGGCGCCAGGCCCTTCTTGACCTAGAAATTCAAAAAGCAGCCCCTAGACAGAGAAAATGCATTATATTTGGCTGCAGGTGTAAATGTCTATTTTGTCCCATGCTCTTATGTAATGTTATGTACTCTCAATCTAAGTTTGTAAAAACAGTAGAACATATTTTGTTTTCGTCTTTTGTCAAGTTTGTCCCAGAATGATATTGATATAGAAGGGGCAGAGATTCTGTCATCCCTTCTTCCTGATTTGCAGAATCTCAGAAAGCTCAGGTGAGTGATGTCTGAAACGGAGTTACCAAATAGTATCGACACACTTGTCTGTTCTGGGAATATACAATAAACATGTAGAATCCTTATTTAGACGTGATATTGTGGCAGATGGTACATGCAACATGAGGGTTTTAACAGGATTTGGCTCACATGTCTGGCTCAGGCAGACAAATTACATTCAGCAAAAAAAAGAAGCTTTATTTGGGAATTATGAATGTACACTCCATATACTGCAGGCGGTAACTGTAGTCCATTCTACTAAATATTTAGGTTTACATTCCATGTCTACATCACACTAGGCAAACAAGAAACATTTAAATGTATAAGAATGTAGAATTTACTATATTACGTAATATTATGCAATAGTAAGACCTCATCTAGAATACAGTGGTACCTTGGTTTACGAGCATAATTCGTTCCGGAAACATGCTTGTAATCCAAAGCACTCATATATCAAAGCGAATTTTCCCATTAGAAATAATGGAAACTCATATGATCCGTTCCACAACTCAAAAATATTCGTATAATAATTATTAATACAAAATATAAAGTAAAAATACGTGTCGACTGAGACCGAGCATGGGAGACGATTACCCACAATTCCGCAGTGTGAGAAAGCGAATAACTATTGGTTCAGTTGTGATGACGTGCGCTCGGCTTCAAAACAAGAAGCGCACACATGCGCTTCCTGTTTTGAAGCCGAGTGCACGTAAAAACAAGAAAAACAAGGAGCGCATGTGTGCCATATGATTTTTGATGATACTTGGCGCTTGTAAACCAGGACTTGCTCGGTTTCCAAGTCAAAATTTATTAAAGATCTTTGCTCGTCTTGCGGAACACTCGTAAACCGCGTTACTCGTAATCCGAGGTTCCACTGTACTGTGTATAACTTTGCTCAAGAGTGAGTTCAGCGAAGTGCAAAGATAGTGACTACAGGGGTACTACTGAAGGATCAGACAATGGTGATTAATCAGCTTACACTAATCAGCAGCCCTGGTGGTTACAGTACTGGCAGTAGTGATTCATGAACATGAGGCTGCAAATAGAAATGATGTTGTCACCATTTTAGATAAGAACAATTCAAAATGATTCATTATGTAAAGTGTGGTACAGCAACAGGGTGGAGTGAGTAATCTACTCTGCTTAGATGAGGTGAATGGGTCAGGATCTTTTTGTAGTGGAGGATAAGGTCACGTATTGACCTCTGTGTATCTGCCCCCAGGCTTGAGTACAAAGAGGCTGTGCAAGGTCAAGTTCGGATCCTAACCATTGGCTTGTCTAAGTCTGCCAGCTTGGAGGATCTAAGGTGAATAGTCATACTGATTTTTACATCACTATTAGAATAGTAATTGTATGGACTGGTTCAATTGTGTCCAGTAAAAACTGGTCCTGGTTTGATACTGCTGTCTCACACCAGCTTGGCTCACCATGTGATTGATGACGACTCAGCTGCTGCCTTGGCAACAACACTACCAGGACTGCCACGACTCCGGGCCATCAAGTAATAGCTCCTCCCCTGCCATGAATCGATTGGTCAGGTCACGGAAGAAATGTTACTACTCAGCCAATCACAAAAAAGACCAGGGTCTTTCTTGATTTTTGTCTTTATATTGTGTTTTCATTCTTTCTGCTGACTAGTGTCTCTCCCTTCTCTTCAGTCTATCACATTGCTCAAACTTGACCACTGTTGGAGCACGCCACCTTGTAACTGGACTGACCAACTGCCGCTTTGTAGAAGACGTCAGGTGCGTCCATTGGTCTTCCTGTGATTACTGCATCTCAGTTCCTGGATGATGGATTAGCTGCTAATGCACTTAATTTTTTCACCAAACTATTTTTAAATGGTTTAACCGTGGCAAATTCCAACTTCTACAACAGGAAAAAAATTCTTAACTATTCAAGCATGCCCTTAATCACGTCAAGTAGAATCTCGCCATTCCATTGACCTGCAGTGAACATGGTATCCTCCTCTGTCCTCGTACTTCCAGCTTGAAGGGCCTGCAGCTAGAGGAAGAGGCTCTGGTACATCTGGCTTCTGAGCTCCCAAATATAGCCTCTGTTAGACGACTCATGTGAGTAGCGATTATCCGCCTTCAGCTTCTGGCGCCAATATGATGAAAGATGGCACCAAGAGAAGCTACTGTTGTGCTTTGTCACTGTTTGTTTGTTTGATTGATTTTTGTGAAATCATTTGTTTTGTTTTTTTACAAATTGTCTGTCTTCTACCAAAGTTCTTATTTTAATTGGAGACACGCTTCAGTCTGATGTTCATCAAAATATTGATTTTCCAACCAAAGTATTACTAAAAAAGTTACTATGGGACACTTAACCTCATAACCGGGACAGGAATACTGTACTTTGGAGTACAGTATAGAAGATGTGGCTTTCCTGTGGGCTTGAATCTCTGCATTGTATGGTTACTCAGAAATAAAATGGACAAGGAGGTTAGAAGATACAGAATCCAGTTATATCAGACTTAGATTATTGTCTCAGATCGGCTTTCTGCATAATGGAAACATACCTACAAATGTATAATTCATCTGGATGTCTCCCATGGTATCTTCCTTTTTGAGCTGACTGTGGTGCAGATCAAAGTAAGCAGAAGACTGCTTGGTATGATAAGATCACAGTTTTCTGGTGTTGGAAAGTTTATTCCTGAGAATTTGCATCCTGTTATCCTGAGAATCATAAATATCTCTCATCCGGCTAATATGAATTCAGTATTAAAAAAAACTTTGGCCAACCTGAAACAGCAAATGAAGTAAAGAATCATCCAAGCTCTACACTTATAATATCGGGTGACCTTAGTTCCATAACAATGAACAATGAAATTTCTCAATTTTGCTTTCTCTTTTGCACACAGCTTTGAAGAAGAAAAAAAAACGTATGCTCGATAATTCTGTGTAAAAATAAAGAAACATAACGTATAGACATGGTAATAAATTGGTCGGTGAATATGACGATTAACATGGTAAATATTGCAGTGGAAAAATTAATAAATAGATATTGATAGAAATAGGTATTAAATTGTCACAGTTAAACATTGATTCAATAATTTAAGTTCATCACCAGTCTGCTGAAGAATAACAAAACAGGATGTGGCTGCTTCTTCACTTTTCTGACTTCCTTATTATTTGCGCCAAACATGGGTGAGACCATGTATTAGAAGGGGTGAATTACCTGCCTTTGCACTGCTAAAATTACTATCTATAGCAGGGTTATTCAACTCACGGTCCTCGAGGTCCGAGCACTGCTGGTTTTCCAGCCTTCCTTTACCTGTCAGTCAGGTGTGAAGCCTCTGACCAATCAGAATCAGTAATGATTAAACAACTGCCTGGGAGAACTGAAAACACGGCCTGGATTTGGAATTGAGGTCCAGAGTTGAAGAACCCTGATCTATAGCTTAGCACTATTTGTGGTGATTGACTTCAGGAAACACCCATTTCCATGCCCCCCCCCCAACAATCAACAATGCAGTTGTGAGCCAAGTGAACAACCCAGGATGTGGTGGCAGTACTCACACATGCATGCCTGTGGGCAATTTAGTAACTCCAGTTATCTTCAGCATGTTTTTGGAGTGTGGGGGAAACTGGAGTACCTGGAGGAAACCCCATGGTGACCAAAGGAAAACATTCAAACTCCACACACGTGGCAGAGACTTGAACCCCTATGTCACTGTGTCACCCCTCATAACCTACTTCTAACCTAACCATAATCCTCTACCACAGCAAATTAAATTTGTATTAACATCTGCTTAATGGTGATATAGAGAAACATCTCACTACTTTACCCCTCGTCCTTCTTATGTACCTGTCTAGGTTTTTTTGTGTGCAGTGCACGGTTCATGTGATTACATGTACTGTTACTGAATATACGGTATGTTCTTTGCATCCTGCACCAAATGAACCAGAAAAAATCCCTTGTACATGCACAGTGTTTGGTGCATAAAGCTGATTCTGATTCCAACGAGCAGAAGGAGCCTCATCCTCAACTCAAATTCTGCCTTATGTGCTTTGTTCGCAGCCTGAGTAAGATCACCGTGGCAACAGGCAGCACTGATTCAGCAAGCGGAGCTGTTTTACTCCTGCTGAGGTCTTTGGAGCATTTTAGGAGGATTGAGGAGATTGAGTGAGTACTTTTCTGTACAGACTCTGTATTCTTCATGCTCTGAGTATCATACTTTACCAATTTTCATTGGCTATGTATTTGCTGATAGATATCATTACTGTTGAGCCTATTAAAAAGCCTGTAAGGGGTCAAATATCATGTGATCCATATTGCTATGTTTAATTTTGTGTCCACTTTTTGAGCACCTGGCCCAGGTGATCCAATCCCTTCTTTTGCAGGTTGGATGAGATGTGGTTGGGGGACAGAGGAATACAGGAGCTTGCCAAACATCTGCCTAAATGGACAGGGCTGCGGCGGATCAGGTACGGCTGCCAGTAGGATGGTGTTGGCCAGGGACCCAGAAGCTTCTACTTCAAGATGACTTGTCATCTATGATGTAGTCCAGAAATCAGCGTAATGTGCATAATCTGTGTATTTATTTCCAACATTCTTTGCACTGATGTGCACTTTCTGTACATTTAACACATGCATGTTGTATATAACAACTGGACTGTATGTATCTCCTATATAAATAACAGCCGTTGACAACCATAGACAAATTCCCTGTTTGCGTGAGCATACTCAGCCGATAAACCTGATTCTGCTTTAAATGAAACAGAATAACCCCAGACCCCTGATCCATGACCACCAGGACAAGGTGCTGCATTTTGACCTCGTTCCTCTGTTCCTGTCGCCCTCACAGCTTGTGCGAGAACAACATTGCGGATGGAGGAGGGGAGAAGCTGCTGGTGGCGCTGACACACTGCACAGCCCTGGAGGAGATCATGTAAGAACAGACTTTGCGTGGGCGGGGCTGTGAAAATGCTCTTCTCATTGGGCTAGGAAAGTTAAGGATAAGATCCAGCCTTGCGTGATCTATGTGATTCGATGTTTATGCATGGCTCTAGTCTTGCCATACCATCCAAGGACTAACTGCACCCTTTTCTCTTAGTCTGTCCAGAAACATCCTGGGAGGTGCAAGTGCCACTCGTCTGGGCGAAGTTCTGCCTTCGATGACTTGCCTCAGAGTCCTGAAGTAGGTGTGGTTTGGGCTGTAGGGCGGAGGGGCCCTTATATAGTCTTTTCTTACTGGGCTTTTTTTTGGCTTATCCCATACTTGAATACAAACCTATTCTTTGTGGAACTTAATGCCAGGTCAGTCCTTGCCAAGCATTTGTGTTTAGAGCAGGTGTGAGTATTGACTGTGACTCACTTACCACCTGTATCATCTTTCTGTAACCTGAACATACTCATGCACATCAAATATTATTGTACGTAGAAGTGATTCATATCCCAAGCCTGACTAAATCTGTGTATTGTTATGTTTAGTCTTCAGCATAACCAAATCCAGCCAGCAGGAGGCACCGCTCTGGTAACTTCCTTTCAAGCTTGTGGAAGTCTGACAGACATTAAGTAAGTGTTTGCGCTACTGAACTTGCATATCTCTGCATTCTCCTGCTGCCTGCATCCTCTATGCCAGTCAGATCATTTTCTAAGCTGTTCCCATGGGTGGTGTCCATTTAACAGTTTGTCTGGAAATCCGCTTGGGACAGAAGGTGCCGCAGCCTTGTCCTCCATGCTGCCCCACATGCCGTCATTAAGGAAATTACAGTAAGATATTTCGACACAGTGTCCAGTATACGGGAACATCATAACGTGTGAATGAATGAGCACATGCCTTTAGGGTGGTTTGAAAAAATGACCGGTTCAACTCCAAAAAACATCAAGGGTACCCAGGATCATAGCGGTTACCTGCAGCTAATTTTGTGCTCTGTACCAGGCTGTCTGTCCCAGGATAACTCTTCATCTGTTTGTCTTTGCATTGCAGTCTGGTTTCTGTTCACACTACAGAGCTCAGCAGCATAACTGCTTGCCTGGAAAACTGTGCCTGTGCAGAGGATATCAGGTGAGGTGTGTGTGTGTGTGTGTGTGTGTGTGTGTGTGTGTGTGTAGGTGGGTGTGGGTGTGTGGGGTCCAGGAATACCTTAACTCGTGGGGACCGAATGTCCCCCCACAATGTGATGAATACTAGTTTTTTTTTTACCTTATGGGAAGCATATCTTTGTGCTCATTCATTTTTATGTGAAAAATGCTAATGCTAACTATGACAACCTTAAGGTCGTTATGTTGGGATTAGAGTTTTCCCCATAGAAATGGAGAGTCCCTACAAAGATACAATTACAAACCTGTGTGTGTGTGTGTATCTATGAATGTGTGTGATTTATGAGATTACATAAAGGTATTAAGTGTGCATGTGAGACAAAATGATAACAAGTAACTTGGATTACTTTCAGTTAAATAGTTTTAAATAGCACCTCTTTTAATATAGTTACCCCCGTGGAGATTAACAAGAAGTGTCATTAACAGTTTAAGGTAACAATAGCAAAATGTTTAAAAAGCGAGAAGGGAGAAGGTGACATAGGAGAGGAAACAAAACTCTACAGTTTGATAGAATGGAAAAGACTGCTTGGGGTCCAGAATCAGCTGCTTGCCTACCGCACCATGTATGCTATAATCATACAGATCAGAGCATATCACCTAGGTAACATAAAAACTTATCAGATAAGTCATCAGTCGTCTGCTTATATCTATATTCTTCAAATAAATTTCTGTCTCGCTCTTTCTTCTGGTCAGCTTGGCATGGAACAGCGTTGGGGATGATGTGGCCCTGAAGCTAGCTGAGGTCCTACCCATCTGCCAGAAGCTGAAGAGAGTAGAGTGAGTGCCGATCTTTACACAACCTGTGTCGTGTTTCACAGGATGAGACTGAGAACACAGCTGTCCGAGGGAGGAGCTGTGACAGACTGTTAGCTGTTGATAGAGTGTCTGATGTCATGTTTTACAGTTTGGAGTCTAATAAGATCAGTGTGGCTGGAGCAGAGGCACTGGCTGCCAGCTTACAGTCCTCCTCGTCCATCCAAGTGATCCGGTATCAGTATTTGTGTCAATGAGTGTTAGTGTGTTATGTACACCAATGTTTTCCAACCTGGTTTTCAGGGACTCCCAGATAGTCCCTGAAGACTGGATTGGGAAACATTGATGTAGACTGTGAGAGCGAGTGTGTGGATGTTATGTACTCTATGTGTGAGAGAAAGAGTGTGAGTATAGAAGTTTAAATACCTAGATAAACACATTTTTAAATATTAATCTGCCAACAGAAGCAACATTTTGGCTTGTCATCGGTAATCCTCTAGGGAGGGGTTGGAAATCCTGATTATCATTAAGCCTAAAGTCAAAGCAAAGCCTTCAGAGATAAGGAAATTCTAACGTATCTGTGTTTGTATGTATTAGGCTGTGGAAAAACAACATCTCCAGGGAAGATGCACTGAGGCTAAGTGCAAAGGAACCACGGCTCAACTTTTCGCCAACATTACTTTGAACATTTGAACCGTGTATGTCTGGCATAGCATGAAAGTACAAAGAGCACAATTTTTGAACATTACTTGACTAAATTTAATATTGCACTGAGTAGTAATGACCACTGAAAGTCAGAGGGGATGCTGGAATTTGTTATCTTGCCTTTTCAATGGAGAACACGTATACTTGAAAACATACTCCACCACAATGCAAACAGACAGTCTTATTAAGCTGGGGAAGGGAGGAGTTTGTAGACAGGCATTTAGACACGAATCACTGTCATATATAAATGATGGTTTTGAAATGTCTACTGAATATAATGTCTTTGGTTTGGGCTCATAAACAAGTTGAAACACCTCATATATTTTTGAAGAAGTTTGCATTAGCTAACTATTTCAGGTTAATTGGTGTATGATGTCTTAGATAAAGACTTTTAGTGTCTGCAGCTTTAAGTTACACGCGATTGAAGCTCCTCCCTCACTTCCTAGATCTGCACATTGTGTTCTCCATCATTTTTCGTATTTATTGCAGGTGATCTTTTCAGAAAATGCTTCTTGTTATATTAAATTGTCACCTTTTGTGAAGCTCATTTTTCAATGTTTCATTGTCCCTCTTTAAATATTCATAACCCTGACAGAGATGGTCACCACACCTAGGCTCTGGTGACATCTGCAGCTACAATGTGCCAGGAGATGGCAGTACAGTCACATAATGGGCATGCAAATTTGTTGTATGTTGTATTGGACCATGTTGTCATTTGACATCTCACTCTGCTTATTTGCAAAGTGTAAAGACTTACGCTCCAGTCTTAAGGCTACCAAGGTATCCTGGAGCCTAACATGCTGCCCAGTGCCAGAAAGCTCAGCCTCAGTCATGGGTCCTCCAACATATAGCTAAAAGCACTCTAGAATGGCTCAGAAAAAAAATGGCCCTCTTAAATGGCCCTCCATGAGCCCAGATCTTAATCCTATTGAAAATGTGTGGAAAGATCTCAAAATTGCAGTGTGGAGACACCACCCTTCAAACCTGAGACAGCTTGAGCAGTTTGCACAGGAATAGTGGGCCAAACTACCTGTTGGCAAATGCAGACGTCTCATTGTGAAGTACAGAGATCGCTCGTTGGCAGTGATTGCTGCAAAAGGTGGTGCCACAAAATATTATATTAAGGGTACCATCTTTTTTGTCCGTGCCATTTTCATTTGTATAAATATATAAAATATTCAACTGAATCAATAACCGAAAGCTAAGTGTAATTTGTGTTAAATATGGAATAAACAATAAGGGACTTGTGTCAGTTTTGAGTTATTTCAGATATAGTCATGTTTTGTTTTTTGTGGATGGGTGCCAAAAAAATTGTCCACGTTTGTAACTGTCCTTTAAAAAGTAAATAATAACTTACAGTGGTTGTGGATAAGATAACTTCATGCATTTACTTACATACACACAAATAATGGCTTCTAAAATCTCTGAATCTACAGGAGGTCTTCAGGTACATGATTCGGAGACATGCTCAAAAATAAAATTGAGGCCAGTTTCCCAGAACTGAGTCTGCAGTTAGTCTGTGGATTGAGACAGAATAGTTTCTCCATCTATCACGGCAAACTTGAATGAATTTAACACTCACTTACATCATGGAAACCGTGGTGTTCATATTAGTCCCCAAAAGCTGTAAAAGCTATTTTAAGATCTTTACTGAATAAATACTGGAAAATGTTTTCATTTCTTTGTTTCCGGAAAGCTTTGCCAGGACAAATGTTGTCACTGTGTCACTGTTTATTTTGGTGTGTTCTAACTGAATCGCCTCATGGCCATTTTATAGGTGCCAGGTTCGGGTAGGTTTTGAATATCTGCCTATCTGTGTAGCCCAAAGTATAATTCTGTCCATGCCTCTGTCCACTTCCACATTGCCAACATCACACACCAATCCTCTGCAGATTCCACAGTTCCAAGATCAGACACCATACACCAAGCTCCTGTCCAGCCCAAAAAATCCTAAGTGAGGTCACACACCAAGCCCCTGTTCAGCCCTAAAATCCTAAGTGAGATCACACATCGCACACCAAGCCCCTGTTCAGCTCTAAAATCCTAAGTGAGGTCACACACCATACAACAAGCCCCTGTTCAGCTCTAAAATCCTAAGTGACGTTACACACCGTACACCAAGCCCCTGTTCAGTCTTAAAATCCTAAGTGACATCACACACCAAGCCCCTGTCTAGCCCCAAAATACTAAGTGAAATCACACACCAAGCCCCTGTCCAGTCCCACGGTCCTAAGGGAGATCACACACAAAAACATGGTTGATGCCAAAAGTGTCAAGCATCCAGGCAATGAGTAAGAATTAACATTCCTGTAATAATGCTTTTGTCACGTGTGCACTTAAAAGGATAGTACAAATTACAGTTCAGCTTCTCCTGTTCTGCTGGGGAAAGCTAGGGTATGCCAGGCTTTGCTTAAGGGCCACGCCGTTACTACACAACTGCGAGGAACGTTAATTTAATTTATCCTGACCGTTCAATTTTACGCACGACCTACTTTCATATAACTCATTGCTGTTTTCCACGTCTGCAGGAAAACGTGCTGCGCTAATATTATAATTACAGCTGTCAAACAATTTGTAAATTATATTAAGTGCGACACACCAGCCTTTGCGCACTGCAGGAAAGCGGGGCAAACGGTACTGCGTCGTCAGACGGACCCTCAATGGGCGGAGATTTCCGACTTGAAGGCTGGTCCCTCTAACTTCCAAGAGGTGTTGGAAAACCCAAAAACTGGAGACGTGTCAGCAAATATGGCGTATTTACATGCTGGACTGTAGGCTCTCGCAGGTCGGCTGTGAGTCTGAAACCGGAGGTAATGTGAAGCTGCCTGACTTCAGAACTGGAAGAAGCTCAAGAAGTCTCCGCACCGCTCATCTCGCTGCAGACGGTGAGCCGCGGCACCAAGGCGTTTGCTGCCAATTTACATTCTCGGCATGATTCTCCGTATTAAGTGTCTACTTGCTGTTAGTTGTAAAATAAGAAATGCCGTTATTTTTTGGGAAAAAAAGAAGAAATCAATTTGCAGAGAAGCTGAAATAGTACATCAGTGTAGATTCCCAGCGCGGAAGAGAGTCGCAAGTTCGAGTTTCGCATGGATAATTAACATTTTTTAAGAGTTTTAAGAATGTCTGCTTTTCTAAGAGAATTCCTGAAACTGACAGTGGAGTCTTAATGTAGCTGCTCAGATCTCATAAACGCTCTGTAAGTGTGATTCATTTTAAATGCGGCTGAAAGAAATGTACTGTTCATGGTATAATAATAATAATAATAATAATAATAATAATAATAATAGCTGTAATAATAAGAGCTGCAATTGCAGTAATAATAATAGTTGTAGTAATAATAGCTATAATAATAACAATAATAATAATAATAATAATAATAATAATAATAATAATAATAATAATGGTAAAATACTGGACGAGTTCGGGGCAAGCGTCTATTCACACGTATAATAGTAAAGGAGTTGACCCAGTAATCATCAAGATATGGGTCTCCGTAGTAAATGGAGAACATGAAGCAAATGTAGCGGTTTCAGAAGACTTTGTGGACTTAAGACCCACTGACGGCATGTTAAAGTTGCGGGCGGATGCTGCTGCTTTTCCTACGGGGTAGCGGGAATGTAACTAGGCTTCTGTTATGCAATCCAGTTAATATCGATTTACTGAATAATACAGTTATTTTTAAGGCAGTTGAGTCCACCCCCTTTTCTTCCTTTTCAGAGACTGCAGTGTGTAAAGGACACTTTAAGAAACTACACAGATGTTTTCCGCTGGCTTTTCTGGTGTAACTAATTTCCATCCTGTTTGCCAGCAGTACCACCCTTTTAGCCAAAGCAGGTATTCATGCTACATGACTGGGACATTTGTTAGCAGTGTGGTTGTGAGCAGACGTACTCCCAGCTACCATGCATGTACCCTATGTTTGCACTGGAGCTTAGCGCGTGACTGACCCAAATACTGTCACTTTCGGCGGTTTCAGTGACCAGTTGATGCTAAATGCCTCTATCTAGCACCACAGTGTAGGTGTTTATTTTAACTTGTTAAGAACTTATGGTTCTTCCTGCTTGTTGAGCCAAAACTTTGGGATCTCCTGAGGGGCAAAGTGACGTGTCCACAAAAATCTCTTAGGTGTTCCATGTAATTAAAAGCTTAATTTAGGATACATTTCTCCAAAGCCACGAACAATTGAGAAATCACGGTAATCCAGTCACTGGGACCATTGAGGGTTAAGGGCCCTGCTCTAGGGCCCGATAGTAAAATCACTTTGCCAAACACAGGGTTTGAACTGGGCATCTTATGATCACAGGTGCAGCGTGCTAATTCACTGAGCTTCACGACGCCCCCAACGTGTGTTCAAACAGCTCCCTAATGCAGCAGTATTAGAGTTTCTGTGGCTCATTGGCTGAGCTACTGGTTCTGTACAGTCCTACAATTCCCAGTGAGTATTTTGCCATCTGTACCTGTTCGTTCTGGAGAGTAGTCTGTGTCTGACCCAGATGCAGCTGGTAAAAATATAATGAAAAATGCTGTATTAGGAAACAATAAAAGAATCTGTATCTGACAACCCAAATTTTCAAAACCTCTAATGCCTGTTTTTTGTGCTCCTTGCCCGACTATTTCAGGCTAATGGCAGCTTCTTTCTCACATTTCTCAAAGTGTTTGATTTCTCACCCAGGGTTGCAGGATGTATTTGTTGGAATCGAGGCCTTTCTGGGGTGGAGATGTGAAGCGAGTCCTCCTTCCAGCCTGAAAGCTGTCTTCTGCTTCCCATAGGGTCACAGTTTGCTTCTGCAAGAAGTCCCCAGTGGTTATGTTCTCTCAGTCATCTTCTAATAAGGTTGACAAACTTTAGCAGCAAAGGAGAGAGTTGGGGCCCAGGTATACAGAATGGATGTCAGAGGCTTCCCATGTGTATGTGGCTTTAACTGCAAGTCTGAGTATTGCTATCTCTCTCTCTCACACACACACACACACACACGGTGTCATGCACAAATACTCCCACATGGACATTCTTGTGCACACACACATACACATTTGCATTCTCCTTCCTCTGTACCTGACTCCAAAGCCTATTTCTCACTGGAGTTTCACTCTGTGGCTATTTAAAGCGAGTCCTCGACCCAGCTACTGCTTAACCTTCTCACAACGCAGCTGCAACATTGTGGTAACGTGATTGCACTGTATTTAAGGACATTGTGTTTTAGGTCGGTTAGTCGATGGACTCTTAATGTTTTTAATGTCTGTTTGGGGAGTAGAACAGAGTGGTAGAATAATGGGCAGAGCCTGGTGTGATTAAAGAACTGTACTTAATCCCAGACCTTCAGCTGATTAAATTTCCAAATGAATATGTGAAAGTATAACATATTCAAGCTCTTAGATGTCTTTTGGGTGATTTTCTAATTAGACACTACAAATAAATGGGGCCTGTCTCAGAATGTATCATATCAGGTCAATGTCATAAATTTGGCATACAGTGGAAGGTGTGAGATCTCCGACACACTGCACATTTCTTTTCTCTATTCCAGTCACGCTGCTTCCATCAGGAGCTCTCAACTCAGTTTTGTGGGGAGAGGAGAGTCTCAGTAGGGGTGTTTCCATCTTGCAGGTTCTGTTTTGCGTTAGGGGTGGATTTTCTTAAAGAGGCAGCAGGGGTTTAGCGGCACGGGGGGAATGCAGCTTGCCGTCTGGCAACAAAGGGATCATTGGGCTCGAGGAGGAACGACATAAGTATATCTTTGTAGGGGTGTGTGTATGAGGTGTGCTTCTGTTTTTGTCTTTGACAAGCTGAGTGGCTCTGGGAGACGTGACTTCATTCAGAGTTACTGGCTGCCAGCGTACATGTGCTGGGTGCTGATCTGGTAAAGCTTCCACTCATGTACTGTCCAGAAGATATAGAATAAAAAGGCTGTTTTAAATGTATTTATTTGTCAAAATCACTGTCATAAAATAATAAAATATGATGAAATTTTTGGGCTCTCCCCAGATGGACACAATCTCTCACCACCAGCTACTTTTTAAAAGCCCAGCCATTTAACACATTTTTGTAATGTGGATGCCTTTCAGGGAAATTCCTTTTCCACCTGACAGTTGGTTCAAATATCTGTTCAAGGAGGTATTTTGAAATGAAATGTGCTGTTAGTGTTAATCTACTAGAGTCAGTGTTGGTGTTGGCAGGAGAGGGGTGGGTCCATCTTACTTCGTCATTTGGTTTGGTCTTGGTCTTTCTGTCTGTCTTTCTCATTCCCCCAGGAGGTCTGGTACAGTGTTTGCCTTCTGTCACTCTTCAATCCTACAGTATTGGGATTAGTGTTAAATCACTAAAGTTAGGGTTGGGTTGTGGACAGCTTCTTCATCATTCTCTTGCACATGGTGGTCTCCTGTGAGAAAAAGGGTGCAGATTGTGGTCTAGTGTCTGAGTGATCTGTAAGTCTCCTTTCCCTACATTGTGTTTTTTTTTTTATGTAACCCATTCGGATATTTATAATCTATTCTGTCAATCCATCTGTTTCAAGATGGTGCCCAGGAGGCATACCTTGGTGCGTGCTTCGTGTTTGAGTTATGGTTAATTTATGTTTCGAAATCGAACTGCTTGCATTAAAAACCACTGTCAGTAGCTACTGAACGGATATAAATTACATGGAAAATTTGATTGACACAACATGAATGAATGAATGAATATTTTCTTATTAGGGGAATTATCAAATGCAAGCCATTGAGAGTTGCTTCAAATGTACTGTCTGGGAAGCATTTGAAATTGACTGCGGCTCCCTGGATATCTGTACAGGCACGGTGATGTCATACATTTGGTTTTGCAAAGATGCTAACATCTCCACAAAAAACTGTCATCAGACATCAACAGAGAACATTGATTTCCAAGGAAATAGTAGCACTTGTGTAGGAAGAAGGAGTGGTGCATTAGCAGAGAGAAGAATGTTTACAAGTCGAGGAGCTTGTTGGAAATTATCAATGCATTCTGATCCTCCCTCTCAGACAAACTCAATCAGTTCTGTGCATGCTTTGACAGTGATGGATTATCCTGCCACTCTCTGCAGCCACCTCCTCCACCATTCACCATTCAGAAGAACAATATGAAGAACAATTATATCAAAAGGAAAGTTGCAGGTCTGGATCAGCTCCACTCTGCTTAGTGAGATCTTTGACACCTTATTATAAATGTGCTAAAATAGGCTTTTATCATCCCAGAGTCATCCAAGATTCTATCTGCACTTTATGTCTGCATTTGAATTTCCTCTTAGCATCAATGAGATCATATTAAAATCAGAATCTTTTTATTCACAAAGTACAAAAAGTACAAGGAATCTGTTCTGGGGCTGGTGTTAGCATGACATATACAATTAAACGTAGAATCAAGACAAGTTTAAAAAAAAACCAATAAACAGAGTATAAGTAAAATAGAAGTAGAAAAATGTAAAATAATGATGTGCAAGTAATTAACTTGTGGACAACCAAATACAGGGTACAAACAGCTCGGGGTTTGCGCACATAACCTTATGAAGTCAATAGCAGTATGATACTCAGAGTGGGTGATTGGATATGGAGCAGTGGTTCAATGCTCTTACTCTTAGCTTTTACTGAGAAGGGAGATGTTGGAAGAGGAACTGACCATGGTGCAAGCAGTCAGAGAACTATTTTCTTAGTTGTGGTCCTTTATCTTTGATTTCTACAGGTCTTCAAGAGGAGGGAGCTGACAGCCAATGACCCTCTCCACACATCGCACATTTCGCTATAATCTCCTTTTAAAGTGCAATGATACAGAGCCCAGTCAGAAAGAACATGTAAAACTTATCAACATCTGAGACAGCTTGAATTTTTTTTAGCTGATTCAAGATGTATCTATGTATACTTTACAGATTGTAGTGGTGCA